TGCAAGCTCCAATTACACAGAACATCAGCTTCAACGTGATATAAATACATTCGGTCAGTCGACACTTTTGTTTTGCTACTTGTCACAGCGAGACAACCAATCAACTTTCCTACTCCCACTCAGTATGGTACAAACAGACTGCATATCCAATCATTCAATGGTCACTGTGAAGATTGCTACATACATTGTCATAGCCAGCAGTGTAGGAGAATAACTAACTACAAGTTAGCATGACAACATTTCGGTTATCTGTGTGTCTAGCATGACAATTGCTATTTTGCGGTTTTTGTTCACATTGTGTTGAATCAAACATGCTTTTGTAAATGTTCACTTTCTCTGTAAGTGTTGGGAAGTCCAGATCATTGTATAGATCTGGTATATTTTGAATGATCCATGTGAATGAATTGGTTCAAAAATACAAAACTGCTGTGCACATCCCAACCACCCAGATTGGGCTAAGTAAACGAAAAATAAAAAAAAATAAAAAAAATAAGTGTGAAGTCCACACACTGACTTTTTTTTTTTTTTTTTGTTGTTTTTTGTGACATGACTTGTATTATTTGTCACATGCTTTTGAGTGTGGGCCCATTTAAGGGACTGTTTCTTTTTAAAGTTGACTTTACTCTACATTGGTATTGTGCCTGAAGAAGACCCGAAGGTCGAAAAGTTGTGCTATAATTCATTCATTTGGAGCAGATTTTTTCAGTGTGTGGACTTCACGCTTCTTTTTTACATTAATGAATTGATTCAACCCATGATTTATTTGATTAAGTGTCCATTTAATAGCTTTAATGTAATTAACTACATGTTAGTAGTTTGTAGTGTAGCTAACTACTTTTCCCACAAGAGTAGCTTGACTGTAGTTTGACTATAAGCAAAGCAAAGCTACAAGCTATTTATGAGTTAAAGCAACTGACATCCAGATAACCCGAATATAGTCCCCATCTGATTCTTTGTTCCATCATGAAATGCAACTGGTCCTGAGGAAACTGAGGTCTTACAGTGATAGCTGTCGGCGGAGCAGCTGACTCGGCTACCCTGAGCCTCTGGGGAGGAAGAAACCAAGCTGTGGGCGCAAGCTCAGCAGGGGGCTCATCGCGGGAGAGCAGTTTTTTGATGTGATCTGATCTGAAGACATGGGGATAAACCAGATGAATCCTCTATTACAAGTCAGCCGATCTGTGTCGCAATTAGCTGGGGATCGGAAGGAAGTGAAATGTGTCAGTATAATGAGAACGAATACCAGGGGCAGTAGGGGGGAAAAATAAGAGGATGAGAATAATAACACAGGGTTGCAAGGAAGGAAATGGGGTTTGTGGGAATCAGTGATCTTAAAGTCATAAAATCAAAGCTGACAATTATTGTTTTCATGGAATATTCTAGTATTCATTGGCTTTATTTGATTTATCCAAGCACATCATTATTTTATTTGAGTTCATATGCACTTAATCTTTAGTCAGTGTTTACTGATGTGGCGCAACGCAATCTCATGACAATTCTTTACTATTTTACACGTTGGCAAATCTGATAATTTGTACGATCTCAGCCTTATGTGTTCAAATGATTTGCTAACACCACTGTGACTGGTATGTTTAAGGGTAGACCTTCACAAATAAATTATTTTCAATAACTGCATGTTTAGCTCATACAAAATCGTCACTTCGTAACATTTGCGTTTTTCCATGAGTTCAGGTTGTTCACTCACATGAGCTCGCACCCAACATCAAAGTAAAATGACCCAATCAATTCCCTTTTGGCTAAAACCAAGTCCCGCTCTACATTTTTCTGGTTCGAGAAGCTGTTTCACTAAGATAGATATGTGTCACAAAGGAAGAAAAACGCCATCACAACTTCCGTTAATATCTTACCTAGAAATAAAAGGTTGTCATTATTTATCCTTTTGTGGATACAAACCTGTTTGACTTTCTTCTGCAGAACATAAAGGAAGACATTAGATTTGACAAATGTTTTTGCCCAAATAATGAACGTCAATGGTCAAACAAAACAACATTGTGTATGGATGGAAAAATGAAATGATATTCTTCTAAAGATTTTCTTTAATGTTCCACAGAAGAAAGTCTTACAATTTTTGGACTACAAAATGGTTAATGAATTACTACAGAATTGTCGGTTTATGTAGACTATCCCTTTAAATTGAAATGATCTCATTATTTACTCACCTGCATGTAATTTCTTGCACATACTGTTATATTTTTTGTGCTGTTATTTTTTTTTTAACTGAACAATTCAAAATGGTCAGAAGGACGCCAGTTATGTGAAGATTGTGTAAGAAAATAACATTATTGCAGTGACCTTAGTACAACTTTTGCATTTTTCTTCTGCATTTAAAAAAAAATTGAAGTCTGAGGTCTTCTATTCTATTTGAAGTCTGAAAAAAATGATGATCAACTTCTCAAGAAGAGGCAGTTGAGCTCCTTATTCAAAATTATCTTTGTGTATGGGTGTGTTTATGTGTACGTAAGTGCACATGTGTGTATTACAAGGAAGATAGGAGGGGGTGGAGACAAGAGAAACAGAGATGGATAGAAAGATCAAGTCGCATCATTCTTTGAAAGAGGATGACCTTTAAATACCCCACTGATTGGTCAATTGATATATAAGGCATTCCTTCTCTCTCTCTCTCTCTCTCTCTCTCTCTCTCTCTGTGTGCGTGTGTGTGTGTGTGTGTGTGTGTGTGTGTGTGCACGCAAAAGTGCATCTACACTTGGTCATTTGGTGGTGGGATTATCATGATGTCAGTGAAAGAAAGGGATGAGAAAATACCTAAAACGAAGAATAAACCAGTCTGTGTTGGTTGTTTTGTATGTGTCTATATTTCTGAATATAGGTATTGCTAATACCTCTTTGGTCAAAATGTCCCCTTATAACTCTTTGCCCAGATAGTTCACTCAAAAATGTCATCATCATTTACTAACCCTCAAGTTGTTCCAAAGCTGTATGAATTTAGATCTTCTGCTGAACCCAAAAATTAGTTATTTTGCAGAATGTTGATAATCAGACAGTTGGAGAGACATTGACTTCCACAGTAAAAAAAAAAAAAAAAAAAAAAAAATGGATACTAGTAACTATGAATACTAGTAAATGGCTACTGTCAACAATCTGGTTACAAACATTCCTTAAAATATCTTTTTTTAGTGTTCAACAGAAGAAAGAAACTCATTAAGGCTTGGAACGACATAAGGTTGAGTAAATTATGACATTTTTTTTTTTTGGGGGGGGAGGGGGGTGAACTATCTCTTTATGTATGCTAACCATATTTAAATTTTCTTAAATGTGTGAGAGTTGACCTATAAACAAACCATGATACCCAGAAAAAACAAACAAACAAACAATGAGAGCAGCAAGTTTAAGAGCCAACATCCTCTTATTAAACAGAAAATACTGGACCTATGTCTGTCTCACATCACCATGAATTGAAAGAATTATTGGTTCTGTTATGAAACAAATATTGGTTCTGTTATTGGTTTTGTTAAATGTCTAGCCGCCTTAAAGTCGCTGTGCAGCTTGTAAGACAGACTTTTTTTTATTTTATGTGTACAAAATATGTGACAGAGAGCAGATGCGGAGGTAAAAACAGCAATAAGACACAGCGATGCTATCAGAAAAATACATGGCTCTAGAGAGCCAGATTCATGAAAATAAATAATCTTGCCTTTCCCCTCCATAACCTGCTATCTCCATGCCCCAGCCGAGGGGCAGCTCTTGAGTGTAATGACAGCTCTAAATGTACAGCTGGTGCCTTTCATCCATGTCAACCAATCAGATTTCATTTTACTCAGCTGCCCTCAGTTCAACCTTTTGTTCCCCCTGGTCATACTGTAGCCACAAAGCCACAGCTCTAACAAGTTTGGGTTTTTTTATATACATAAACCTTTAGTTGCATTATCAATGCATTTTCTTTCATATACGTGGTATTTATTTACAAAACATAAAGTTTAGGTACTCATTTTTAGCATTAGGACTTTTCACTGTCAGTCTGCGATTTAGTGGTGAGGTTTTCCAGTGACTCTTCCTGCAGGTTACATAGATAGGTGAAGACAAGTGACTTTCATATTGACATTGAATCATTTCACCATTTCACCATCATTTGAGTGAGTCATTGAATCCTTTACTTATCTGATTCATTCAAAACACTGATTCGTTCAGCTATAAAGCAAGTGAATGGCAACATCTGAAATTGTATTGTTCCCTAGTTGAAACTATTGTTCACCAATCAGAAACGTTGGGGCGGGCTTCATATGATGACGACAGCACTGGGATTTTAAAGCAGATTTTGTAGCCTTCATTACAAAGATGGACGCCGCCGTCGAACATCACTCGCTCGAATCAGCTATTTTTAAGCAATAATTTCCTTTTTGTTAAAAACCGAGCAAAGGACAACACTCTGAGATGTTTCTCCTCCAGCCGCCGCTCTGCAAATGTCATCTCCTTCATCACTCTGATTGATTTTAGGTCTACCCGCGACATCCGTTGGTGACGCCCCTCTGGAAATGATTTGTTTATGATGTTTTGCCAGACCATATCTCAGTTACAACTGAGAATGGTCTGGTTTTAACCAGGCTACCCATTAATACTACTATATATAACATACTTCATAAACAGTCGCAAAGTAATCATTCAAATTAAGTACCTACTCAGAGAGTATGTGATTTTGGATGCATAAATCCATAAGCGGAAGATGGATGGTTGGACATTGATTCATTCAGAAACGAAACAAGTACTGTCTTAATGAGTGAGTCATTAATTAAGTCACTCTGCTGATTCATTCAAAAATACATTCACAAAAGAAATAAGCGACTGTCTGGGTGAGTCAATGAATCGTTCTCACAACTGACTTGTTCAAAAGATTCAATGCCAATGTTGTGTCTAAACTCTCAGTTTATCATTATTAACTTCTTGTGTTGATATAGAACAGCATCATCCCTGATCAGTTTCATAAGTAAAGGCCAGACTGACAGCAAGTCATGTGTCTCTTACAGGTGCCCTCAGATGACTGGTGTGGTGGCGGTGCGTCAGACAGTGGTGGGGAGATCCCCTGCAGACGTATGCGCAGTGGCAGCTACATCAAGGCCATGGGGGACGACGACAGCGCTGACTCAGACAGCAGCCCCAAAGCCTCACCCAAATCAGCCCTCATCGCTCAGAGAGAAGCCTTCCGCCGGTCCGTCAGCATGGACCAGCGCTCCTCCACCACATCCAAGTCAGTTGTCACCTGATTTTCAGTTTGTTGCTGCGTTGAGATTTGTATTTGCTGTAATAAAAAGTAGCACATTTTGGACTACCATGCAGTAGAAGAGCCAGCTGAGACTTTAATGGTTTATTCTTCTCCTCAGGTACTCGTGTAAACAGTGCACAGATGTGTACCCAAACAGCCGCACTACGCCTAAAAGCCACCCTCGCTCCCGCAGCTACACACGCTCTCTGACCAGCGCTCAGGTATAACACACTCACACGATGCACAGTGTTTACATCACATTTAGTTAGTTATCCAAGCTATTGTAATGTTTTAATTGTCCTTAAATAACCATTTTGGATGGTTGCTTGGGCAAAAATAGGTGATTGCTAGGGTGTTCTGCTTCTTGATTGGGCATAACTTGGTGGTGGCTTGGGTGTTCTGATGATTGCTAAGCAAGTGGTACCTATGGAGTTGTGGGTAGTACACTCTAAAAAATGATATGGACAAACCTAGCCATTGGTTAAAAATGTTAATACTTTTTTAACCCAATGATTGTCCATATTTGACCCAAACATGGGTTGAAACAACTCAGCATTTTTAGAGTGTCGCTAAGGCATAACTAGTTAGTTACAATGGGGTTTTGGGTGACCGCTAAGGTATAACTAAGTGGTGGCTTGGGTGCCCTGTTGGTTGCTAGGACATGACTCGGTGCTTGTTAGGGTATTCTAGGTAAATACGCATTGGCCCAAGTCAAAAGAGACAAATGATTTACAGCTCTGAGAATAATATTCTGATCTCAAGATATAACCCTAAATCAGAGCATAATAATAATGTGCAGAATTAGTTGATACGATGTTCAGTTGCATGAACAGTCTGAGTTATATGCGGAAACTGTGATCTATATGCCTGTTAGCACCAAGGACGATAACTATAAAGAGAACGACAAAAATATAGTTATAAAAATATATACTATAAAAAATCGTTCTCAATATTAAGGAATAGCACCACAGCTATAACGATAGAGAAACACTATCGTTGGAATCATATTCAGAAAGATTGTATCTTGCTGATGAATGATGAAAACATTGACAGCCAATCAGAATCAATCCTGCTGTAACAAGCTCGAGCATTTAAGCGGCAAGACAAGTGGACGCTAATATGGTTATCTTTATGGTTATTGTTCTTGGGGTGAACGGGCCTTATGTGTGTGTTAGCTGAGCGACAGTTTGAACCTGTTTGGAGAGATGGAATCGCAGGCTGTGGAGGCACTGGATCTACCCGGATGCTTCCGTACCCGCAGTCACAGCTACGTACGGGCCATCCAAGCCGGCTGCTCCCAGGACGATGACTGCCTGTCTGTCTTCTCCATGTCGGGCCCACAGGGGAGCATGAAGGGTGAAGCAGGTGAGTCATCAGCATCTGTTTATGTATGTGTGGGTATACCTAGTCTCCATGCTGTCACAGGGATTAGATTAGAGACTTAATGAGTTTTTGGATCAGTCTCATAGGAATTGCTGGAGAAACACGCTTCAGCCAAGGGATTTAGATCAAAACTACTTTCCTTCTATCTCTTCGCTCTCAGTATATCAAGACTGTAAACAAATGTTACATGGTAAACATTGTAAAATGCTCAAACTCTCTTGAGATTGTCTGTCTCCTTGACTATCCCTTGGGTTGTAGTCAAGATTATGGCGGCAGTGTTAATCTCGTCAATATACAGAAATTAATGAATGTGACAAAAGACAAAATCTATGTCAAAATTAACGCTGCTTGGTCGTAATTGCAATGGTATTTTATTCTCTCTATTATTTGGATGACTTTCCATCTTTTTTTTATTGTCCCTCTCTCGTTTAGAGTAGAGACTCTCATAGGAGTTTTATTAAAGCCCCTGTGAAGTGTCAAAAGCATCCATCTGCAGTTTCCCAAGGCAACACTCATGATACACACCGGAGTGTGAGTGTTTTTAAGAGAGAGGGATGAGGAGAGGACAAGAGAGATGGAAGGACGGCTTAGGCATGCTTTTTTTTAAAACTCCTTTAATCTCTGAGTGTGTCCCACTGAATTTCATGTATGTGCTCACAAGAGCTAGTGTGTGTGTGTGTGTGTGTGTGAGAGAGAGTGAGCGAGCTGATGTTACTTAAGCCATGGGGATGTGTTTAAAGCTTTTGAATGACTCTAGATTGGGATTCTTTAAGCTGTAATGCATTTATGTACATTTCTCTATGATTCTGTCTTCTATATACAACGAAACTACACTGAAGAAAATTATTATCACAACACCTTTTTTTGCCCCCATTTTTCATGAGCTGAACTCAAAGGTCTAAGACTTTTTTATGTACACAAAAGGCCTATTTCTCTCAAAAGGCACTTCTCCTTTGCCGAGATAATAGGCTGGCCACAATAAAAGGCCACTCTAAAATGTGCAGTTTTACAGTATTGTATTGTATTGGCCTGTGGAATGTTAGTCCACTCCTCTTCAATGGCTGTTAAAAGTTGCTGGATATTGGCAGGAACTGGAACACACTGTTGTATACACCGATCCAGAACATCCCAAACATGCTCAATGGGTGACATGTCATATAAGAACTAGGATGTTTTCAGCCTTTAGGAATTGTGTACACATCCTTGCAACATGGGGCAGTGCATTATCATGCTGCAACATGAGGTGATGGTCGGGGCACAACAATGAGCCTCAGGATCTCGTCATGGTATCTCTGTGCATTCAAAATGCCATCAATAAAATGCACCTGTGTTCGTTATCCATAACATGCGCCTGCCCTTACCATAACCCCACCGCCACTATGGCCCACTTGATCCACATTGACATCAGCAAACTGCTCACCTAGTTTGTGTGTCCATGTTTTGTCTCAGCTAGAAAAATGGGCCTAGTACTTGAAGACTTTGCATCCTCACATTTCTCTATGTTCGCTTTACTAACTTCCCTTCTTCGGCCGAGAGTTAACTCAAAGAAATTGTGTTTTATTCTTTCTGTGGGGATTGTTTTGAGTGAACAGCCCTTCATTTTTCAAATGAATAATAAAAAATCCTTTCTGTCTTTGTCGGTCTAGTGTTCCCGTACAGGAAAGGACCCCCTCCTCTTCCCCCTCGCATGTCCAAGCCAATGATATCCGTGACAGCTCAAAGCAGCACCGAGTCTACTCAGGACGCTTACTTCCAGAGTACAGGACAGCCCGTTCTGGTCCGGCCCAGACAGCACAGCAACTCAGTGGACCTGACGGGGAGCAGTGGGGGCCGTACCTCAAGAGGAGGGCATTACCTCGGAGGGAGCACGACGCGGGTCCGACAGAGCAGCAACTCTGCAGAGAGTCTGAACGGCAGGGCCCTTCAGAGCATCGGCTACCCTGGTGGACCTGGTCCAATGAAACCCAAACACAGCACCTCGGCCGACAACCTACTGGAGGGGCCAAGGGGATCCAGGGAGCGGGCTGGAGGCAGCCTGGGGAAATCGGCCTCTCTGCCCCAGAACAGTATGTCCCTAGCTAAAGCTCTGACTGGAGGAGAGGAGTTCAAACAGGAAGGACGAGGGAGAAAGTGGAGACCCTCTATCGCAGTGCAGGTATAAGAGGGGACTATCCCATGAGGGACACAGACTGATCTCTCTCTCCTCTGCAACATTTTTGTTAAATGTCTCTTTGTGTGTTTTCCAGGTGGACAGCTCAGAGACATTGTCTGACTCAGACCCTGAAGGCAAAGCGCTGAGAGAAGTGCACTCCATAGGGGTTCAGGTGGAGGATGAAAAGAGGTAGATCTAGCTTAATTTTTCTCGATGTATTAAGATAACATTTTCCATAACAAATAGAATAGGGGTAATGGGTCTAAGCATTTCTGTTTTTTTTCATTTCCATATACATCTGTAGCTGTATCAAAGAATGTATATTTAATAATAATAATAATAATATCACTAAAATGATATAAGCCTAATGACAGTCTTTAGTTCACGAACACAACACAATTCGTGAAAATCAAAAGCAGCTTCAAACACTTTTTTAACAATAAATATTCTTCTAATTTTTTTTTTACTGTCATCAATGTAGGCCCACAAGAGAAAAATTAAGCTAGTAAATTAAGATATTAGCTATACCGTTATATCCATCCGTCGTCTTGCGGCATTAATGTAGCGACAAATGCTGAAAGCTCAATCGGTTTGTACTTTCACTTTCAGAGAATGAGTGCATTTACATGCACTTTCTTAACCCGATTATTATGCTAAACAAACTGACAATGCATATGGTCATGCAAACGCATTAACCCGTTTTCCTTTTTCGGAGTCAAGTCATAAGTTTAAGTATAAACCGAGTGACTCTGATTTCCCTCGGCATTTAAAACACATGAACTCGCGTTCTTTGAGCTTATTGAAGTGCGATCTCAAACGCTGATGATAGGACGATATGAAAATGGAGCAGATCACCCAATACTACTACATTGTACCACAGCTGATGGCCGGAAGTAGTTATACCCGTTTTGTAGAACCCGGAAGAATGTTACGCATAACCCTATTGAATAGTACAGTTATCATCCCTATGTTTATCTATTTGCTATAAAGGAGTATTGAAGGGTTTCTCACTTATTTTAAACCGCCAAAATGTATTTTGTTTACATGAATCATGAATTGCTACTTGCTACTGCTGGTTGGTGGCAGGTGGTATTAGTGGGAAGGACATTTCTCATTCTAGACAGCATTTAATTATTTTTTAACGCTCTTGAGTGCAGTATGAGTCACATTGTTAATCTTTCCCGATGGAGCAAGACAGCCCATTTTTAATGGTATATTAAATGTGTTACATTTAATGATAAATAGATATTATGATAAATAGGGTTGCAGGCTGATTAATGTTTCAGGACTGTTCCATTTATAAATAATATATAAGTAAATAAAATACCAGTGCTCAAATTGTGTTCTTTTTCAGTGAATCAAGCAGACACATGACTAATTATAACAGTTACTGACTGGTTGTTTATGTATGACAACATGTAGATTATGGGATTGGTCAGTAACATTTTATAATATTAATGAATGCTATATAGTAACACAAATATAGAATTGTTTAATATATACTTCAGGCCAATTATTCAATGTATTTATGCCTCACTGAAAAAGAATAGTCATTAATAAATCTGATTAAATGGAACTTTTTCAAGAATTTTTTTATTTTTTATTTTTTGGAATTTTACATCCCCCCCCATGTGAATTTTACATGTGTTTGATCGGTTTTGTGAGTGAATGCAGTCAAATTAAGATTTTTCCGCACAATTTTTTACAACACCATGACCGTTTAGTGGCTCCGCAAAGTTATTATTATTTTTTATTAGAAGTACTGTACTAAAAGAATAATTAAGTCCTTTACAATTCCCATCCCATATGCATGCACTGTGTTACATTTTGTCAATATGTTTGGAAACCAAAGCATTTGGATGTTGTTGGGACTATGCAGTTTAAGATAACATCAACATATGTCAGTGTTTGATTTTAAGAACATCGTTGTGTTGGGTCCCTACTTGATGTCCAATGTGAAAACTAAGCAGTTGAGAACCAGTGCACTAGCTTATAGATTAGTTCAAATCTAACAGACATGTACTAAAAGCTACATACATCAACTAAAAGCTTTTATATAAGTTCTTTAAACATCTCTATATTTCCCTTCATTCTACAAATTGGTGAAAAAGTTGTCAGGGGTGGTTAGTTTATTTCTGAGGTGGGGAGTGTGAATGTGTCACAGTGTGTGATAAGCAAGAGGTGCAGGTGCAAGGTTCACACGCACGCAAGCAAACGCACACACAGTGGGTGTACGTGCTAGGAACACGGAGTGAGGTGAGAGGGTATAATTAGGCAGCCATTACGCAACACTGCAAAACCTGTGAAATGATGTCATTGTCACTCATCCACAAATTAGCTGTGATCATTAATTACCATTGTCAGCCTCTTTCTTGATTTAGCATAAACTCTATTGGTTTGAACTCATTAGTTTCATTGGCTATTTTTGGCATTTAAAGCATCTAAAGGTGTGGTTTAGCTTTAATGAGTTCTAGCTCAAGTTTATTTGGCATAATGTTAATTTACATGAAACATAATTTCCAAGCGTTGTTCATTTTCTTAAAAATACTCAGGGGGTTCAAATGCATTTATAGTGTCTATATAAACCACTATATATTTTATAATTACATTATAATACATGTAGCCTGCATTTACCTACGATTACTGTAGGCTAATATATGTAACAGGGCATTCAGTTACTTTTGAAAGGACAATAATACAGTGTCAGTGTATTTCATAAGACTTTAACTTTGCCAGTTATATAAATTAATCTTTCGTTTCCTCACGTTTTACCACTGCTTTTTAGTGACAGTCAACATGCATGGGACATTGGCGATGACAGTGATGGCCATACCACACCCACTCCCTCCCTTCTTCTCACAGCTATTCACGTCCATTTAAGTTGCATTTTTCAAAAAGATTGTGAGCTAGACTTGAGCTGAATGACCCTTTAAAGCTCAAATAATACACAAATTTAACAGAATTGAACTGAACCTTCATACATTGGCCCCAGTTACTTCAATTGTAAGTGCCTCACTGTAACTTCATTTCTTGGTTTGTTTAAAGAAAACAAGGGACAAGTTGAAATTACTTTTGTGGTAATGAATGTTACGCCATAAATGCGGTAAATATGATCAGTGACTATAGTTCTATCGGTCTACCACTACATTTGAGTTGAATTGTCCTGTTGTTTGCTCCAGACGAGCCCGTTTCAAACGCTCCAACAGTGTGACAGCGAGTGTCCAGGCTGATCTAGAGACAGAGGGTTTTGGTGGGCTGACCGTCCCCACGCAAGACAAGGGCCTGCAGTTTGGCTGCTCATTCCAGCGGCACTCGTCTGAACCGGAATCAGCCAGTCAGTTTGCAGAGTACCGCACAGTGCACACACAAGGCCAGTGGGCATACCGTGATGATTACCACAGCGGTTACACCACCGAGCCCGGCCCTCCAGAACTGAGGGCCCTGCCCCGCTCTCACTCCCCTCTGCCTTTGGCCCCCGAGCGCGGAGTGGGAGGTTGGAGCGAGGGCCCTCGGAGCCTCCCAGATTCGGCCCGAGCCTCACCCTGCTTACGGGATGGAGAGTTCTTCCTCCGGCTCCTGCAGACAGAAGTAGAGAGGATGGAGGGATGGTGCCAGAACATGGAGAGAGAGGCAGAGACGAATGAACTGCCGGAAGACGGTGAGTGAGGAATAACAGAAGAGATGGTTGGAGCAGACATTGACTAAAAGCCCCCAAAACACTGATTTTGATTTCATGGGGTCTTGAATCTGTTGTGTTTTGCCCAGTTTTCTCTGTTTAAATGTCTGATTGGTTTGTTTTGTGGTTCAGTGTTGGAACTCATCAGAGGAGCTGTCGGCAGTGCTCAGATGCTCATGTCACAAAGAGTCCAGCAGTTCTTTAGGATGTGCCAACAGAGTGTGGTGAGTGCTTTGTAACTCTTTCTGTTGTGGATAAAAGGGGGGACGTCCTTACTTACCTTTTATCTTTATCTTCTGTTTTTTTTATTTCAAAATAACCACCACTGTCAAACAGGCGGTGAAACAAAAATAGATCATCGCAAATTTGGCATCATTTTACAGTATAAAGGCATATAATGTTTAACTATTTACAGTTACAGTTAAGGAATATTGCTGTTAATAAGTTTTAACTGTAGCCTTTTACAATTTTGTTTTGTAAAAATTACATTTTAGTAATGATTTTAGTAATCTGTTTGAACTGAACTGTTTAAATAAACGGATTCACCAAAATAAAGTGATTTAAGAAAATGAATCAGACCTCTCAACACTAATGGCTATACACTCATAATGTCTCATGTGATTTCTAAATAAAGCACTGCAGTGATGACGTATTTTACTAGGCCAACCCAGAAGTTAGCATCAGCCTTGTTCCCTCAACAAAAACCCAATAGGATTTTTCTTTGGATTATTGCTGGAAATAAGATCTGTGACCAAACAAAAGTTCAAAAATGAACACAGTTTTTTACGAATTTAGAAGTCTAAATATAATCAGCTGAATCAAAATATGTAGGCTATAACTAAACCACAGTTTTTATGCACAATTTGGGATGTTGAATAAAAAAATAGTTTAAAACAAATTAGATGGAATTTTGTATCCAATAAGAACACATGTGCATAAACTACGATGAAAACACGTTTACCGTATAAATCCATTGAAGCACAACCAAAAACTCATGTGACTTTGCCTCAACAGTGGATGTGATTGGATAACTTAACCAGTGGATTCATTTCATTGCACATGATCTCAAATGTTGGTTTGATCCTTCTGAAGTCTGTCAGAAGTCTGCCGTCATAATGATTTGGTTGCATCCCCTCCCAGAAGTGTCTCGCAACACCAGGCATCTGAACGCTAGATAACATGGCATCGCTTATTGCATTTCGTCTGCATGCTCAGAGATGCAAGTCATTTAATATAGGGAGAATAGAGCCATGGTGACTTCCCCAGTTGGAGAAACTTCCATTTTTATTACAGATATTTTGTGCCAATGTCCCAGGAAGAGACTATTTTGTTCCTTTAACACTGCGTTAATCTTTATGTGATATTCCATTTTTGGGCACAAGTTAAATTCGCAACTTTGGATTGAAACATGGCTACGGTCACCATCAATAAGCCTTTGTTTGAGTTGGAATAGTTTGCAAGAGCATGATTATAAACACGACTAGGACCTTTGAATAGATTTATTTTTCTGGGGTGCGTTTCCCAAAAACATTGTTATCCAACTATGGTCGCGAGTTCCGTCATTATCAGCATAGTTCAGCATAGAGTCGGTGTTTCCCAAAACCATTGTTGCAACGAACATTTTATGCCGTAGAGAAAAATCTAAAAATATAACAAAAAAATCATTTAACGGGGTGATGAACTGAGAAATACATTTTTCCTTGAGCTTTTGACATCTAAGAGGTCATCATATTATAAGAATATCCTGTAAGTTTCAGAACTGAAAACGTCCTTATTAGTCCAATACAAGCTTTTATTGACACCAGGCTCAGCAAACGACTCGTTTTACAAAGTGGGGAACTATGAAGTAAAAGAGGATAAAGCACCACCCCCGCAGAAGAAGATCAATGCGTACTTCAACACGGCCGGTTTAGCCCCGCCCACCCATTTGCGCATTACACGCAGCATAGCCATACAACATAGATGCCTACCTAGTGATGACAAACCGGATCGAGCTACCGAGCAATACAAAATATTGCGCAGTGCCTGGTTGTGGAAGAAGACAGTCGCTGCATATGCTTCCTCTTGGTTCCAATAGGACTGCATGGTAAACTTTATGTTCAATGACGTTCCAGCTGAGGGTAAAACATTGTCCATCTGAGGATTGTTTTGTAAACAAGACACAGGTCGAGACTGGATTTGCAGACCGATTAAAGAACGGTGCTGTGCCGTCTATATTGGATCTGACAGGAATGGTGCAACACACGGACTCTGGGTCGAACATGTATGGGCGAATCATTCCGGTTGCCATTTTACAACATTGAAAGTTTTCAAAACAATTTCCCCCACGTGCAATATGCAAAACTGTTATCCACTCACAGCAGTGGGCGTTTACTTCCATGTCTTCAATTCGAGACGCCCATAAAAACCGAGCGTTTTTCAGCTAGGCTCAAAACTAGGGTAGAAAATAACCTATTACTTATTCATTTTAAAGTTTTTGAATGCAAAAACCAAGCGAACCTCATAAGTTGACCTCAGAAAACAATATAATAATATTTAAAAAGCCAGTTCATGACCTCTTTAACAAAAAATCATTCCAAAACCTTTGACTTCAAGATGATGGAACTGTAAGTGCAAAAATACTAGATCATTCCTGTGTTTTGGCCTACGGAAATATGTCATCCCTGCAGCACTCTACAATATCTCCCACTCTTCTCATAGGATCCTTCATCATACCCTCAGCCCACCACTCAGGATCTGGCGGGTTACTGGGACCTCCTCCAGCTAGCCATCGAAGACGTGAGAGTGAAGTTTCAGGACCTCCAGCGACTGAAGGACTCGGGCTGGCGGTTGCCTCCTGAGAAGAAGGTGAGAGTGGAGATCCGCTCTGCTCCAGTCATTGCACAGCTCCACTCCAGTGCCAAAACAGCAGCGGGCAGGAGAACCGCACGTGTGCTGGGTCCGAGCAACTCTCTGCCATCACACAAACACCTCAGCAACAAACGGAACTAAACTAGAGGGGGGGGGGAAAGACGTGCATGTTCTGGAATAACAGCTGATTTACTGCCTAAAGTCCTGCTCATTTGCTTTGAGATATTAAAGGCTAACAAATATGTAACTAATATCTCTTGTTTTCTTTCTTTTTTTACTGTCTGCTGCTTCCACAATTTCATGCTCATCCTAAAAACACTAATCCAAAATCATTCTTATGTTGCAACTGTCCCTTCTCCGTATATGTCCTGGTCTTCATCCTCTCTGCTTGTACTTGTGCGTTTTCGGTGTCCTTTCCCTGCGTTCCCGTCCATCCCTGCATTGGTCATCCATGCTGTCACGCCACTCCCACCGCTCTTCCTCTCAGGAGGACAAGAAGGTTCCACCTCCATTACCAAAGAAGCCCATCGGTGGCGTAACGGGCAGCCTGAGGGCCGACAGCACAGCCGAGGCCGGGGGCATGCTGGTGGTCTCGCGTGGACGTAGCGTCCCCGAACGGGAGAAATCGCTGGACCTGGGCGAACGGCAGAAGCTGGAGACGCGGCGCAGGCTGCTCCAGACCAAACGCTCCGCTTCATTCCGCCAGAATTCAGCCACGGAGAGCGCTGACAGCATCGAGATCTACATCACAGAGGCTCAGACGAGACTCTGAATCAGTCAGACACCCCGTAAACAACCACCGCGGCTCTTCTCTGGCCCTCTGCACAGGCGTCCATGTTACAAATCGGCCAGAGAGCGAGTGCAATTACTCACTTTAGCGTGATAGATAACTACTGAAGGCCTACCAGTATGCTGCTGGTGTTTGGATGTGAGCTTACACGTTTTGTTTGATTTTATTTTGTTGTTGAGCAAGTGTTATTATTCTCACAAAAAAAGGGCTCAACCAGCACAACCAAGTGTTACATGATTGAGACTTTTGTAAGTTCACAAAATATATACAAATTTATGGACTGTTTTAATGAACCACAGCAACACATACGGGTGCAATATCACATATTAAAAGGATCTTATCTTGTAGTTTTAAATAATAGACATTGTTTTGATATAATCTTGGCAGTGTATGTGTTTGTTTATTGATTCCACAGTGTGGCGGACGTAGCCCCTTTCACTGTGACACTAGCGCACTCTTGTGGCCAGAGTAGAGCAATGCACCCTGATGTAAATTTGGGCCTGAAACTGAATGTCTTAGCAGTGCAGTAGTAAAACTCAACAACGTTTGCAGTAAAGATAAATGCCTTTTTTTTAAAGCCAGTTATTAAACTGTCACAGGGATTTGTCTCCTGTATAGTGCAATATCACTTTGCAATTGCATTTAGGTGTCCGGGGGGATAAAAAAAACACACACATCCAGGCTCTGAGGCAACAGCCATGCTTCCTGAAACAGGATGGTCTACATCATAAGACTCTTCAAACACGGCAGCGGTTGTTCGAGGGGTGCAGAAGACAATCCTTAATTTCACACTTGACCTGCACACTGAAAAATGATCATACAGAGGGAAGGGGAAGCATCTTGTTCATTTCACCCCCTGCCTTTTTTTTTTTTAACAGATGAAGAACGTGAAATCAATGTAGCTTCTTTTTTTTCCCCACTGATTTGTTCTTTGTTTCTTTTCTCTCTCTCTCTTTTTTTTGGAGAAATTAATTAGTTCCAGTTCCATTGTCTAGTGGTCTGGCCCACAACCTAATGTTATTATTTTTAAAATGATCTTATTGTGATTTCCCTCTTTAATTTTGAGGCGTAAACTAAATAAATACTACACTTTAGATTATTTTAGGAATAACAGTCTATCTCCACTTTTTAAAAAAAATGCTGTTTTACAGTAGTTTAAGTGGTGAAGTTTTGTGTTTATAAAAGAAAGGAAACATTAATGAAAATATGATGTGGATTGTGTGCATTCAACTTTTAATTTTGAAAGGAAACCAGATTATACAACCATTCTTGCCAAATCATTGTCATACTTGTTTTGGGGGTTTTTAAGAACATGGAAAAATGTTGATTGCATGAATATTTGTTTGTTTTTGGTATGTTTAACCATGGAATAAGATGGAAAATATTTTATTGGGAGATGTATATTTTATAAAGTACATTTTTAGATTAGAAAATTAACATATGTTGTCAAAAGTGGTGTTCAAATATGTTTAAAAAAAAAACAAGCTCTGTGGACTTTATAGAAGACTTTAGACAGAATCGGGTTGCTTTCCTCGTATTTCTTTTGTCAATCTTGAAATGGACTGGTCAAAGACTTGACAAAAGAACAAACGGTTGGCAGCCACTTGCCATGTTGTCCACGGGCGAAAAATATAATCTGTTTTCTGTCTTGACTATCTATCTACACGTGCCTAACAGCACTATGTGTGGCTTTTTTTAAATCTAACTATTCAGTATTATATTCAATACAAAATATATAACTCACACAATATGTATTGTTATAATAATTTGATTTGTTACACCTCATCCAGCTAATAACCACCTCACAGTGGATGTTTATGTAACCTGCATGCTTTTAATAATCCATGAAAAAAAAGAGAACTCTCCGATCTGTATCCGCTGTCTGGAAAAAAAAAAGGACAGGACTATTTATCTATTTATTTACAATGATACATACATATTTCTGTATCTTAATTTCCTCTTGTTTATTAGTCTGACTGTTATTTCAGACATTTGCACTGTTTTTTTATTTACTGTTGCCAATCATCTCCTTTTTATTATTTATTTATTTATTTGACATATATTTTTTTAAACTTCTAAATGGTTACAGTCAACTTATAGGTTTTTTTTTTTTTTTCTTTTTCTTTTCTTCGAAACAGCGAGCCTATGCGACAGAAAAGCACAACAGACTATTTCCTCTTCCACTGTGAAGGACTTCCTGCCTTCTCAAAACACTGAAAGACTATGTTTGGCACGCCGTTGGGGTTTCCAGTGCGAGAAATAGGATGATCTCTTATCAGGGCCATTTGTTTTTGATATACCAACGAAACTTAATTTCAAGCAAGACTGACTGACCACACTTACCCCCCCGTCCCCGCCAAGTCGCTTACCTTTTCAGGCACCCACTCAAATGGAATGCTCAGAAAGACTATTTTGATGGCCTTTCTATTCTAACCAATGTAAATGGATTGATGAAACCTAATCAAATACAATATTAATAACTGTGTCTCTTGCTGCATCATGTAAAGCTTCCCATGTCAACACATGACCCGATCGGTATGCTGATTTTCGGTTCTTGAGACACCTGATGTCTCTTAATAGGTCAGAACTGAAATTATCTGTCATTGCTCCTTTAAACTGAAAAAAAAACGAGTCTAAAAAGTGTTGGTAAAGCCTCTGTATGTGCCGTAACCAGATTTAGCTAAGTGATGAATATTTCTTCGTAGCACAGAGGAGCTTGTAGCAGTGTGACGTAGACATTAGCCTACGTTGGATTCTATACCACATTACTGATCACTGGAAATTACATGGGTCATAGACTTACAAACAATTACTGTGTAATTACAAATACCTTCTCAGTTCTGTTGTATTATGTACAGTAAATATATCTGTTGCAATTGAAGTTGTTATTATTAATATTCAATGGATTGTTATGATGGTTACTGGTATTATTGATCATTTCATATATAATGAAGAATTATATTATTGCAGTTATGACTATGATAAAATCTATTCTGTATTCTCCAGGGTGTTCATGTGTAAAGAGCCACCCGATTTAGATTTTATTATTTTGTTTGTAATTGCTGCTAATGTAGAAAATAGATGAGACGAGATCGATTGAAAAATAACAGCTGATATTAGGGCCAATCTCCTCTAGCATTTGTGAGCAAGATATCACATGACAGGAATCGTCAAATGAACATGCAGATCAGAAGACTAACTTCCCCTCTCATAATGGAAAAATATCATATTTGGGCAGTTTATGATGTAGCAAAACAATTATGTTCTGTTTCAAATGTTCATTGAATTAATCATAACGGAACTTTGTGATTATTAACATTATCTCTATTTATGGTTGTTTTTTTTTTTTTTTTGCTTGTTTTTTTTTAATTAATTAATTAATTTATTTATTTGATACAGTGCCAAGTTGATTTTGTATCTATGCTTTTTACATCATTTTACCAAACTGCAATAGCTTACTGCCACTTTTTCGATATATTATTTCCAGATTTGAAATAAATCTAAATCTTTTGCTGACTTGTTGAAACGAAAGGGTGGAGGGAATGCCTTATGATGAATAATGGCAAAGCTGAAAAAAATCATGGATCATGTTTAGTCTTTGTTTTCTCGCCACTGATGTACAGCTCAATGTCTAATAGCATTAAATCAGAGAGATGGCACACTGTGATGTGGTAAACCTAAACAGAATGTAATATTGTAACGGTTGTAAACATTTTCTAAAAATTATTATAAAGCTATTTTAGCAAGGTAAAATGACTGCTGTCCAGTTAGTGTTTTGTTATTTTCCTGGTATGTTTGCCTTCACTTAAGACAATAACATTTCACACGAACTTCAGAAAACCTAGCTACTACTTAAGATACGAAACTTTTGAAAAAAATATTTAAAACGTAGGCCTATACTCACGTTAGAAGACGCCTCTGTTTAGGCCCGTTCGCCAGGAATGATATTAGCGCCAACATCAACAATTGACCATTTTGCTTTGTTGCCTTCAGGTGCCATCGGATTCGGAACTCTCGTAAATATTGAGTTTCCTAGACGGAAATTGGATATAACGCTCTCTCCTCGTATACTACAGGGAAAGGTTGAAATATATATTTTTTTAAGTTTCCGTACTATAAACTTTAAACATGGCGGATGGTGGGCTATGTAGCTTATGTGAAAGTACTTTTTATTAGCTTTTTTTTTTCCCCATGCAACATCGACATTTGAACGCTCAGTGAATGCTATCAATGAATGGGAAGCAAAATTTTATCCTAAATTAAATAACTTGATTGAATAAATTTTGGCTGTAATAAGACTTCCCCAAGACACAGGCAAGAATTAAACCTGGTGTTGACTCCTATTCTTCCAACAGCAAAGTATTGGTTGCATTTTATACCCAAAATGAAAATTGTTATTTACTTGCCCTCATGTTGGACACAACCAAAATTACTTTGTTCATCTTTGGAACAAAAGGCAGTTAGGTATTTATTTATTTAAAAAGGACTCTAAAGCTCAACCACATGCTTGACACGAGAACAAACTTAATTTGACTTCTGTATATTACACCTGCTCATCTTATAAAGTGATCCAGTCTCAAGTCATTTCACATTTAATCTTAACAATATCCCTTTGTAACATTTGATAATTTAACATATCTTTGAGTTTGGAAGGACATGAGGGTGAGTAAATGTATAAAAAGTAAAAGAACTGCATTTTATGGGTGAACTATTCCTTTAAGTATTTGTCAAAGATTGGGAGAGGAGTTGGATCCAGATCTAACTTCTCCCACCTTACATATACCTAATCCTACCCATCTCCACCACTTAGATCCAGATCCAACTCCACCCCCTGGATCTTGTGTACTGCAACTGAAGATTAGTGGGCGCAGCAAACTATTGCACCACACTCAGTAACAAAAAAAGAATGCTGACATAGAGTACAAAGGGGAAATAAAAACTTTAATTGGCCATACGAAATGAAAATACAAACCAAAGAAAAAGTAATTTCCAGTCTCCTTCCTAGATACAACCATATCAGAATGAACTGAGGTGAAAAGACAGAATAATGGGCCATTGCCTTTTGGTGCTTGTTATAGCTGTGTGCCTTTCAAACCATGGCTTTTACTCAAGGAGGTGCAGACTGATGTACAGAAACCATTATACAGGGGACTTATGGGTAAAATTTGTAGATACAAGACAGATCTATTAA